TCCAGCCAATAAATTATAATCTTCTTGTTCTTCGCAATTTAGAGAGAAAGCTAATTACACGGCTAAAATGACACTGGACGTTGTTCGTTTTCACTTTACAATAGTTCCGATACGGCTCATCAGATTTTCCACGGCTTCAGCTTTAAAATCGCCATCAAAGTATAATCGTAAGCCGAATATCCATTAAATTAAAATGAAACTTTGAACATTACAGAACAAACTCGACTGACAAGTCAGTGAACAACACGTATGACGCTTTTCCAAAATAAAAATATTTATTTTCTAGGAAAATTATAAGGTATATTCTTTACCCTCCGATGTAGAATTATGCGATCACAAAAATCACATATTCCTTCGTAACCGAGAACGCCACTATATTGCGCTGCATAGCGTCAAGAAATACACCTGGAACCCACAAAAACTACTAGAAACTTATTATAAGTATGACTAAACCCCAATTAGACAATAGGATTAAGGAGTCCAACAGAGCTGTATTACCTCATATCTCGGAATGCATCAGACACACACCTTCTGAACATTTGAAAATTGAGCCCGTACTTTGTCTTCCTACCCTCCCGCTACCTCTTGACAACATATCGACGACATAACCTCACGGTACTTCTTAGTACATATGCTTAGTAACATCCTCAACATTAGAAAAGGGGACCCAACACCGAATATTTCTAAATACAACGTAATGTAACATAAATATAACCTCCTCAACATTACAAAACTTTACAAACATCCAGCAACAATACTTTTTTTCATAACCTCTCGATACCTCAAGTTATACACCGAGATTCATAGCATATTGCTATAACCTTACAATACCTTCTAATATCTCTTCTTCACAACCTCCTCAACATTACAAAACTTTACAAACATTCAGCAAAATACTTTTTTTCATTACCTCTCGATACGTCAAGATATACACCGAGATTCATAGCATATTGCTATAACCTTACAATACCTTCTAATACCTCTTCTTCACAACCTCCTCAATATTACAAAACTTTACAAACATCCAGCAAAATACTTTTTTTCATTACCTCTCGATACCTCAAGTTATACACCGAGATTCATAGCATATTGCTATAACCTTACAATTCCCTCTAATACCTCTTCTTCACAACCTCCTCAACATTAGAAAATTGTGATCTTCCTAGCAAAGGTTGAATATCAAAGACGTCTTTAGTTATTATTTTAGATAGACAATTGGAACAAAAGGCTTCATTATTCAACTTTTGACGACGGATCCACCAATAAAGTACACGAACCTCGAAAAAATCTTCTATCTTCCTGATAACATGATTACATATCCATAATATGACTTTTCCTCCAAATACACGTGATGCTTAACCTCTTTAATTTTGGAAAACCGAGCTCCTATTTTGTTATTATATCGTACTGCAATTTTTGAATCTCTACATAATACTATAACCTAACGATAACTCCAAATAATATTCTAACCACGATCATATCCATATTTCCCAGTCCACAATCCTTCGATAAATAATAGACACTTCTTTCTACCTAGCCAATCAACAATCCATAATTGGTGAAATACATGTCATCCGCTACAGAATTTCGCACAATCCCTCTAATCCTATAGACTTCGGCTAATTTCACATTATACCCAAAATTCTCAGCGCTTACTTCCTGACCTGTTTTGCAGTGAGACTGAAATGACTACTTGAAAGGTCACCACTGCGTGATCTCTTTGCTCTCTAGTTCCAGATTTTTTTTTAATTTTGTCAAAAATTTGACTTGTAGTATATAAATAAGCCTGGAAATAGCAATTTTTAAACAATGAACAAAGTTTGGAAAAATTCTGTAAAATTTTTGTCTGTTAAGAAGGATCTTTTGCATCTGTTTGCCGATACAATCATGCCTACATCAAATATTCAGACTTTCACAAACCTTGATAAAAATGATGTTTTGAAAACCTCCCATTCATTGACATTGGAGGTATAATATAATATGCAAGAAAATATAGTAATCATGCGTGAAGTCAATGTGAAGAACGGGGCCTCCGGCCAAGTCCCACCTTGTGCCCCGGTACTTTCTCGGACCGTGTGAAAAAGCCGATGGATGCAAGTATGAGATTCGGCAGGTCGCGTGATTTTTTCGACTCTAATCGCCCTTTCGTACTTTCTAAGGGCGGGGTGCCATCGGCCTCTCATCTTTATGAATGTCTCGGCACCAGCGGGCGTGGGTGGGTTCGAAGAGGCACGACATGTCCGCACAAAGACATCACTTTCCCGGCCGGCACGGAACTCATCCATACATGGGGAAACTCTCTAAAAGGTGCCCGCCGATTCCCTGTCCCTGGAACTTTTCGAGTTTCACTGCTGCAGATTCACACGACTGCCGATGTGTGAGAGCATCCGAATTCAGGATAAACCGGTAGCTGTAATTTCTCTCTTTCCCTCTTTATTTTTCCTTAAACGGCTCTCAGGACACCGATTTGTTTTTCTGTATTATTTTGGCTCGGTCCGATAAATTCCTCGCTTTAGACTGATCGGACAGATTTCTATGCATTCACAGTATAAAATATTCAAATGTATTTAAAAGTTAGCAAGTGCGCTCGACCAGTTCGTTTCATTAAATAAATGCATTCCAAGAGCCCACGGACCTTCAATCTCAACTCATTTCTTTTTTCTACGACGAGCCCCATCATCCCAAATTATTTTATGAGTGACTTTCTAATGCCCGGTACAAAAGGACATAATCGGTGGTGCGTAAAACATAAACCAGTAAAGCTTCTAATTATAACGAAAGTTAACATAGGTCCTTGAGGCTACGAGATTAAAAGGCTCTCCTCAAGACCTTACGGTCTATTAATAGTACAGTAAGTAATGCCTAAAACCTGTTTCAAGAGAAAGAAGCCGACCAGTCGTTAAGGTCGTGAGGAAATGGGGTTTTTAAGCAAACAAAATTGGTCTTACGCATTCGCACATTGCGAACAGTGCATTCTTATTGAATTCAACGCTCGTTTTTCCAAATATTCTTAAAAAAACTGTACTTTTGGTCGTGTATTATTTATTACTACTTCGACACAATCGCCGATTTGAGCGACTGGGTGAAAATCCAGAGAAAGCGTACAATATGATAAGATTAAAGACAATAGAAAATTGTCTAAAGACAATTAATATATTTATTAGTGAAAGCAGGGAGTTTACCAACTCTTCGTCCAAGGAGTTTCTTTTACTTTTGATATCACGGCGTTCGATTCAGTTTGATGTGAAAAATCAGACAATTTATTTCAACCTTTCTGATTGACAAGATTGATATTGATTCATATTCTACATACATACATAAAATAAAGTTATTTGAATTTCATACCTATTTACTATGGGGACATTTTATGGGAGTACCAGTTAAAGACTTTACCCCTGTCTTAGTTTAAACCTAACATTATACAAAAATCAGTTGTCTGTTAGGACAAATGGGCAAAAGCCTCAATTCCGATGTCTGAAATAGACCCAAAACAATTTTATTTACCCAAATTTTATGAGTAGTTAAATATATCTTAATTACGAAATTACCAACTAAACTCCTACAAGAAAAGAAGTTTTGTTTTATATTTTAATTAGTTTTTACAATTATTTCTCATGACCTCACAGTTACGCTACGTATAAATTAATAGGTACGTAACCTACTCTGCAAAAGAAATTGATGTTTGCTCTTTAGAACCTATAGTTCCTTGCTGTTCTCCTGATACTTCTTGATAAAAAAAATTTTGCTAACGAAATTTCTAAAGTTCAAGTTATTCCAGTGTATTTAAAAATTTTNATGCGTAACCTCCTCAACATAAGAAAATATAGCTCCAGATTGATTTGTGTCTTAACCCGAATATCAACTACATATGAACCATAACACAGGTTTAAAGAGATCTATCTTTTCTTTCAAGCTCCTGATACCTTGTAATACTGAACTGGTATCTACTGTGCGTGTGTAGAAGGATGAGACCTATAGTGCCTTCCTATTTTTCTGGTACTTCTTGATAAAAAGCATTTTGCTAACGATATATCTAAATACATGTAATGACCTAAATATTAAAAAATGTGGCTCCTACTTTGTCTTCCTGTTTTTATGATAGCTCTTCATTCAAAACACATTGCCAACGATACCTCCTAATGTATCATATGCGTAAGCAACCTTCTAATAAAAGTCAGTATCGACTGCCTTCTTTTCCTCCTGATACCTCCTGATTCAGAGCATATTGCCCTAACCTCACGATAATTGACATCTGATAATCGTAATCTCCTCGCCATTAGAAAAGTGAGCTCGTACTTTGTTGTTCTGTCCTCCTGATTCACAGCATATTGTCATAATCTACCTCCAAGTAGATTTCATACGTAATCTTCTCCTCATTAAAACATTGAGTTCCGACCATGTCTTCTCATCCCTCTGATGACTCTTCATTCACATCATATTGCCATAATCTTACGATATATCCAAATATATCCGATGCTTTCCTTTCTCAACAAAAGAAAATAAAGCTCCGACTAGGACATTTTATTCTCTTGAAACTTCTAATTTACAACCACAACCTCACGATATCATCAAATGAATATAATAATAACCTCCTCCACATTAGAACATGGAGCTCCAACTATATCTTCCTAACCTCGTGGTACCACTTGATTCACAGAATGTTGTCGTTAGGTATTGCGGACAAGTCGTTAGTACCACTTTACATTATTTTTAATTAATCTGAAATAAAATTACAAAGAATATGGCTGGATTCGAACCTAGAACCGTTAGCGGGCAAATTTGTATTTCAGTCGGACGCCCTAGCCCAGCGACCATCGCTGTCCCATAAATTGCAATTATCTATTTTAAGTATGAAATAGTTGCCAAAAACCATCTTATGAAATAGAAAGTGTTTCAATTTTTGAAGTTGTTTCAAACAATAAATCTAATGTATATAAATCAAAAATATTACTATAATTTTTAATTTTCTGCCAATTAAACAATTTCTTATCTCATTGCAGATCCGGCTCTACCAACAACCCTCAAATCCCAGTAAGTAAAAATAAGTAAAACTTCAACAATAAACCCCTGATGTTCCTAGTTACTTTGTATAGTTTACGTTTATTTTAAAAGTCTGTCTCAAGTTGTGATTAATGCACCCATCACCTTCGACGAATTGGCTGTGGTTCCGACAATTTTACCGAAGAAAATTGCTTAATTATCTTAAACGTTGTGGAATGGCTTAGATTTCAAAGGGGTTCGCTATTTGACTAATTCCGCCGATGAAGGTGACAGTTTTCAGCGGCAGATCACTTTACCTCCCGACGCAAATTTGAATATTACTCAGAGCCGGTACGAAAAAAGACGAAGGTTAAATACATGATTCGAAATTATCAACTGAGGAACGCCGTCTGACCTTCCTCGTGCCATTAGCGAGAATGAAATGCTCGTGAAAAATTACATCTTCAAGGCGTCTAAGTTTGAAGGTCGGTGTACAGCTTTTCTGTCTCGTTTTTAAATGCATTTAGCAGACAGAAATAATTAGAGTTATTGTTTAAACTCAGCCTTGAAGCTTCGAGTATGGAGCATTAGTCAAATTCAACGGCTCAGCAAGATCAACACGATGACAATGGCTGTCTTTAAGTCAGCAATTCGTACGTCGCTGTGTATATCTTGAAAAAAGAAAAGTATTGAATTAAACCTATTATATATCATCGGTGCGATAATTTTAAATATAATAGGAGGAGGAAAAAGAAAGACAAATTGTGAAAAGGCTTTAAGCCAAATGCGTGTAACACGTAAAGGAAGATTTATCAATTTGTCACACATCCTCGAAGTATGTCGCACCTTTTCATTGTATAAACGCCGTGAAAGTTATGAACGACAAAGCTTAACGCTTATAAGGGGATGGAAAGGTTAGAGCTTTCCTCAATTTGCGTCAATAGTAGCAATGCTGAAAAACAAATACTGTCAAACCTATATTTAAGTTTAAACCTAAATGTACGTAAATAGATTTATTTCAAGTCGGTAAAAAGCCTTATGTGCTGAGTCGATTAAATAGGGCTATTGCGCTCCTATTTGTATGGGTTATAGCTCCCTAACTTCAACATTTTATTAGCTAAGCTAGTGGCTCCTCCGTTATTTGCTGAATTGAGCACTTCTTTTCTTGTGAGTGGAAACCTTTTCCTTATTAGTCCATCACAGTAATACATATAGCTTTTTTATATCAAATTAATTTTTTAATCTTTATGTTATCCTTTATTAATTTCAAATTAAACTTTTTTAACTTGAAATTAAGCTTTTTTAACTTCAAATTATCCCTTTTTTTAAGTATCACGAAAGGAGATGGTTTGAAATATTAGCATATAAAGTGAAATTACTTGACAATTTTTTCATGTAAAATAATTGGGCTTTTAGAAAACCATATAAACTTAATTAAAATTAAAATAAAAAGTTACTCAAAATTAAGTATAGAAATATATATATATAAGTGGGAAGTTTATGGGCCAACAAACAGCTGAGGTCATCGTCGGCCCTCTGCGTGTTTTCCATTTTTTCTTTCGCGCATATTTTGTTTTAAACTGCAGCCATTTGAGCATCTCGATCTGGTTACTGACTCTCTGATTTCAGATATATACTACGTTGATATTCTAGAATGCTAGTCTCTCGTTTGTACCTCAGGTTGTCAAATACAGAATAAAAACAAAACATACAATACATATATATACATCACCACAAACATAGATGTCTGGTCACATTCATTCCCCCAGAGTACTCGATATTCCTCGGGGCGGGGTTATAAACAACCCCTTCCTTTCACGCTAATAAATTACTTTTACTCTCCAGACGTTATATACTCAACCCAAAGTACTCGATATTCATCGGGCGGGGTTATAAGCAACCCCTTCCTTTCACGCTAATAAATTACTTTTATTCTCCAGACGTCATACACTCACCGCGGAGTACTCGATATTCATCGGGCGGGGTTATAAGCAACCCCTTCCTTTCACGCTGATAAATTACATTCATTCCGATAAATTAACACAAACACAACACTCGATAGAAACATCGTATAACAGAGTATAGAAATAAAAAATTCTTCTTTTAAATTGAGAATTTTTAATAAAATATGAAATGGATTCTTACATAAAATACCACTGAAAATTAATTATAATTACAGTTAAAAGTTTAAAATTAAATAGAAAAACAAATGATTCTTTTATTACATCTAGATTTTAAAATATGAAATAATTATTTTATAACCCAATATTATTAAAATTGTGTAGAGATTAGTGACCGTTAATCGATAGTTATTCAGATATCGTGAGATGCGGTCGGGAGTGATGTAGGTTTCAGAAAAACATTTTCTTTATCGTGCCAACGTTTCGATCTTTTATTGAGATCATTTTCAGGGCTCAAAGTGTTTGTCTTCTGTGTAATTGTGCCATCCTTGTGTGTCGTTTTGAGAGTGCCACAATTACACGCCACAAGGCACTCTCAACATGCAACATTATCATTAAAATTAAAGCTTATAAAATGTAAGGTATAAAAATAAAATATTCTTATTTTAAAATTAAAGATTTTTTTAAAATTATTGGTTTTAATCTAAATATCATATGAAAACTAATTACAATTACAATTAAAAGTTTAAAATTAAACATAAAAACAAATGATTCTTCGTAAGTTTTTTTAATGTTTTAAAGATGGGGTTAATTTCAAATTAAAATGGTTTAATTTAAAGTTAAAAAGGATAAATTTGACCTATGTTGATGGAGTTTCGACAATATATTATTTATCAACTTGAAGATAAAAGGGTTAATTTGACGGAAAAAAAGCTGTATGTACCTCTGTATTCTTTTCTGCTTGACCTACACTGGTTATTTTCTGCCTCTAGATTTTTTTCAAAAAAGCGTTGATTAAAAATTGAAATGGTTTAATCTAAAATTACAAAAGGTTAATTTGAATTTAACGGAGTTTATTTGAACTTAAAAACGTTAATTTTAAATTAAAAGGGTTAATTCGACGAAAAAGAGCTATATGTACTTCTGTTTCTTTTTCTATAAGGCAGAACCTACACAGGCGATCTTCTGCCTGTAGAGTTGTTTTAATGTTTTAAAGAAAGGGTTGATTTGAAATTACAAAAGGGTTAAGTTGAAGTTAAAATGGGTTCATTTAAAGTTAAGAAGATTTAATTTTAGATTAAAAAAGGTTAATTTGAAATTAAAATGGTCAACTTGACGTAAAAGATTTATATATTCATATGTTTTTTGCTGCTTGGCAGAACTTACACAGGCGATTTTCTGGCTCTAGAATTGTTTTCTAATGCTTTAAAGAAAGGCAAAAAGGAGGGAAAATTCAAAAAGTGAGATGGGAAGTTGGTGTCCGAGTGGATCGAGGTCACGATAGCTCAAGTGGTAGAGCAGCGGCGTATCAAGCCGAAGATCGTGGGTTCGAATCCCGCTCGTTTCATTGACTGTTTTATCTCAACTAAAAACCTTAATTAATTTTAAAGAAAGGATTAATTTGATGTTAAAAAGGGTAATTGAATAAACTCAGTGATTCGGTTTAGCAAAAAGATTGAAACAACAACAAATTCATGAAACCCCATGATGACTGGCAGTGTTAAGGGCTTTACATTTACATTTATCTCCGAACTGGCCTAGGATATTTTCCAATCCCGCTAGATTACATAACTGTTAAACAATGTTCAGCAGTCACGCCCATCTTACTAGACCATCAAACCAATCGTGGAAGTATGGCGAAATTTGTATTAGAAGATGTCTTGAAGGCAGGTCTAAAACAATCGAAAATTTTTATAACTAATTCATACAAGAAAATCCTATCTGTAAGTAGGCAAGAGTTGTGTAAAAACAAAATCCTCTTCAACGGCCAATACTCTCTTTGAAATTCTAGAGATGAGTCAGGTACTTGCCTGTATGCCAAGAGGAAGCGGAGACTTGGCGGCCTAGACGATTTGGCCTAGATTGGGTTCCACTGCTTTGTAGAAGCAATGATTTTCTGGTTAGGAACCTCAAGGATCGCTAAATTATAAAAACAAAAAAATCGGTGGCGTGAAGCATGGCTTTGTACTACCATTACAGAACGAACGCCTGGATCTTTCTTATGTAACACTCTGACAGGATGTCCTATTTCGTTCAACACCTAGTTCGCGTGAAAACATTGTACGTAATCAAACAATTTTTTGAGATGATTGTTAATCACCAGCTCCTGTCATCATCCTCATCACGTTTCACACGCCATATGTCCCATTTATCGGACTTTGAATTTGAGGCGTCAACAGATTGAATCCTTTTACGGTAAAACCGCGGACTCGTCGGCCTTCTCGACTGGAAATCGATGACGTCCGTAAGATTCCATTGGGACACTACTTAATTTCTAGGGCTCCAAGAGTTTTTTTCGATTTTCAGTGGCAGGGTTTGGAATTTGAAGCCGGAAGTGGCAAATTCGATGACTATGTAAGAGGATTTTATCAGGAATAGACCTTGGTTTTTCGTGAGAACTAGAGAAACCGCGGTTTTGGACGTTTCCGAATATCCTGTGCCTAGTTCAGCTTGTTTGTCCTAAAAGACGAATTTGGTATTTTGTCATTTTCAGTGGTTATCTATACAGACTGAAGGAGCAAGGCCATAATATAAAATCAATAAATAAAGCAAATAACCCGTTTGGTATTTTACATCATCCTGGTCCTTGCTGCTTTACATGTCATACTTTTCTACGTTTACCCGCTTATATCCTTTTTATAGGTTCTGAGGGTCCTGAAAATTTTAAGATATATTATTTCAACTACATTCAACATCATTTACGATAAAATTAACACTCCCAACCATTGACTATGCAAACTGACGAAATAGTATGGCAGAAAAAACAGCTATGGTTTTCGTACCATTATGGTCAGAAATGACGAAAATTTCTAAAACTAGTCTGACTAGAAACAGGCGAGGCGAAATTCGATTAGTGAACCAACTAGCTCATTTCGAGGCAGGTCTCAAAAGATATAACAATTCTGAAAATTCAAACAATTCTCAGTGGGG